GAAGTGGACAGCCTACTCCTTCCTCACCATCTCTTCTTTAGTTTGGAAGCTCTGCTGAAACCGGTTCCCATGGGTGACCCCCCTGGTCTTTGAAACAGGAGTGACGTAGCTTCCAGCATCACAGCCACACACGCCACCGCAGTGTGACAGAGTGACAGGCAGGGGTCGCACGGCCAGTCACCAGGGCTCATTATGAGTCAGAACGTGGTGGTGTCTAACAACAGCATGGCATGGAAGGGAGTATCTCCATGAGACTGTTACAGAAAAAACTAAATTTAACTTTAAAAATACACTAACCGTGTGGAGCCGTTCCTAGTTGAGAGGAAGGAAGTTCGGAAGGGTGTCATTTTTCTTGGTTTCCACCTCCTGTCTCCCAACCAGCCCCTCCCCCAGTGAAGGCACCCCAGAAGCATCTCCATAGAACTTTAACGGTCCATGCAAGGGCTGAACACTGCCGCTGTGGTACTCCCGGCTGACCAGGCCCCCTGCACTAGCCCAGAAGTGGCCCACACAGCCCCTCGGGGGTAAGCAGCAGCCAGAGGAGACTGGAACACCGACAAGGAGTACAAATAAAACTCAACTCACTGCCACCAGGTAAATGCTGACTCACAGTGACCCCCTGTGGGTTTCTGAGACTATAACTGCTCAAAGGAGTAGGAAGCCCAGTCCGTGTCCCACAGAGCAGCTGGCGGTTTCGAACTGCCAACCATGTGGATGGATCGCAGCCCAGCTCGGAACCACCTCACCACCAGGGATCCAATACTAAGCAATCATTACAGGAAGAACCAAGATAATTTGAGAAACAATGATAAATCTGCTATTTACATAGACTGAATGAAGCTAGAAATCAAGGAAGACTTAATTTATTGAGGAGGACCTCAAAGAGAAGCATTGAAATAGTTATACCTGATTTTCTTACCTCTGGTGGCAGTGGGGTTAGTTACTGGGCTGCGATTCTAAAGGTCATCAGTTTGAAACCACCAGCTGCTCCATGGGAGAAAGATGGGGCTTTCCTCTCAGTTCTACCCTGTCCTATAGGGTCACTGGGGGTTAGCATCAACTCAATGGCAGTGAGTGGGGTGGTTTTTTTTTTGGGGGGGGGGTAAGCAGCGGGGAGGAGAAAGCCTATTACTTGGGTACATTCAAATCTGATATTTATAGGAAGTAATTACAAACCAGGTGAGACTTTCACATCCTACTAAAAGAAGAAGTAAGAACTAACCAACGACAGCTCTGCAGTCCTGTTGAACTCTTACACCATTTGTCTAGATACTGAAATGCTAAGTAAGTTGTTTTTCTTTAAAAAACAAAACACATCTATGGCTACTAAAAAGAAGTTGAAAAAAACGTGACTTGTGTTCCAAGAGCCGTGAGTTACAACCTGGAAGTGAAGATTCCATCCAAGGCCATGGCGAAGGCTTCAGTTAAGAGCCAAGCGGCTACGGCAGAGTCCCGCACCCACCAGGAATAGAGTTCTAAAAGCCACGCATGGATATCCAAAGTGACTCGCTCCTTCTCTTTAAAAAACAACAGCTCAGGGGAGGCAGGGTTCTCACCGAGGTGCAGTTTTCAGGCACGGGCTTAGCAAAGAGGAGCTCTAACAAGGCGACCACCAAGTACGTGACCCCTAGCCGCTGCAGCACGCCAGGAATCCGCACCTTATCCCAGGATACTGCCAGGAAAACCAACGAGATCAAGGTCAGCAAGGAGAGAACATGCCTATATTTTATTTATACAATTCTTTTTTTTTAATCTTTAGAGACAGGAATAAAATCAGGAGGCACTATGCGATCACGAGGTGTCGAAGGGATCAGGTATAAGGCATCATCAG